TAATCGCGCATCACCCGATTGCACTTTTTGTCTCGTTTTACGTGAAAATTTCNCAGTGAGGGTTGTAACCTTACCTTACAAGGTTGTAGTCTTCCATTACTTTTAATGTGAAAATTCTATCTCTACATGTTGTAATATCCCGTCAAATAGTTATAACATCAGTTCTAAAAGTAGTAACTGTCCCTTAAATGATTATAACATTATCTTAGAAAGTTTTAACCTCACCTCTAAATGTGATAACTTTACCTCTACTTAATTGTAACGTAACCTCAAATGACTATAACATCACCGCCAAATGTAGTAACTTTACTTTGAAGGGTTACTAGGGGTAACTCGTGGTTTAACATAAATGAGAAGTGATGAATTTGAGAGACGGGAGAAAGAAATTTAATGTGAATGATTTTGATAGAGATGTTGATAATCATTGAATAAGTTTATTTGAGACTGATAGATAGACTTATTGAAGTCTATCATATTTTATATTATAGATAACCTTACCTGTGTACACACACACCTCTCACATACTAATACATTAAAATACACACATTAATACATTAAAGTGCGCGCACACACACACACACTAATAAACTAACATAAAAAAGTTCGTGAGGTCAAAACTAGAGGATTGATTACTAATAGTGATAAGTTAACATATTTCCGCTCTTTTTAGTAGTAGCAAACATCAAGTGATTTTGTGTTGTAAAATGACAAGTTGATAATGAAAGGAAATGTACTAAGAAAACGCAACTATATTAGCTCTATATCTAGATTGAGTTGGAAGAAAGTCGAGAAAGAAAGATTACTCACACACACTAATATACTAAAACACGCATACACACAAACACATGTTAATACCCCATATTGTACCAAAATGCACACAAACTATGACGCCCCAAATTTCAGGGGATTTTTTTTCAACTCGTTGATTACCCATCAACCCGCGGAACATCCATAGATGTCATTTAAACCGATACTATGCCGTTACGTCTCATGATCTATAATTAAACAAGTCCCATATACCGGAATTCATAATTAAACAAAATTCGGGTAAAGTCTTTTTTGTATTTAGAGCTCTGCCCAATACACAACATATGCATACAACACTCATATGACCATTCCAAGGTCCAACATCCCAAACTCTAAGTATTAGACATTAACTATTCATCCACAACCATTTTTGTACAACATCCATTCCTTAAAAGAATAAATGTTCATACATAAAGTCTCATTACAAGCCTTTAACAAAAATACAAGTTTTGTAATTAAATTTATACAAGACCAAAATATAAATGTACACAAGGGACTACAAAATTCATAACGAGAGCCACAATCTGGCTCTGTCCTCAAAGCGGCCGTCAACAGAAGCTCGTCAAATATTTGAAAAATGTTCTCATAACGAGGTGAGCCGAAATCCAGTATGGTATTTCCTATAAAAAAATACCTCTCAATCTTAATGCATATGATATGAATGCACTTTCTTCAAGTCAATCATATATCACAAGTAACATAGAAATGACACTGAGCATGTTAAACATGAATAATACTTCATGAATGCATGTCCAACACCCAAATCCCCTCTCAGGCTCCCATGCACGACACATGCTATGATGTCATGACATGAATCGGGCATTCCAAGTCCCCGTCATTGATGTTAAACATCCAATGATTATTTATCAACACGTATGTCTTCCTTGGGTAGGTAATTTATGGACATCACACTAATGGGCCACGAAATTGACACGACATTCGAGGGCATCCCGCCTCCAATTTCAAATACACCAACACTTTTCTAGAATTACACCACCAAGCAAGTGTATGAACCAAGTAACTGGGCTCTACCCACGAGGAGAATGTATCCCTTCTTATTATACCCGACACATTTTTCATGCAATACTCCTTGTGACTCAATTAGACGTTTGTTCAATTTTTTCAAGCCCACCAATCAACTCAACCCATGCACACACACTCACATTTATGTCAATGCTCACGAATATAAGACAACTCATGCATATGCAATGTAATATATAATTACAATTCTATTCTATCACAATGTTAACTATATTATCTGAGCATGTGACAACATCTCATAAGCATCAACATATTAATTACATCATGAAGTATATAATAACATTCCATAACCATCACTAAGCATGTTATAAGCAATATTAATCAAAATAACATACTTGAACATACTTTGACATTTTATTAAACACCATGAGGCATAAACTATAAACATATAGCATACTCATTCATAAAACTCAAATTTAACATGCTCAACTCCCAAAATCAAATATAATTAGGCATAACATGCTCATCAATCAACCTAAACACCATACTAGTCACACTAGTTACATAGTAGCTATGTAAATAATATACATAACCTTACTTGTACAATATACATACATGAAATTGAGAGTAATCCTAAATAAGACGAAACCTTCACCTTTTGAAGTGTAGCAAGAAGAAAATCTCTCTAGAATACCCAAAGTAAGTCCTTTCAAGCCCTTGCCCCAACACCCTCAATTTTCGAAAGTGATCAAAAATAGTCGTTGTTGGTGTTGACACATTTTCCTCGTCAAATAAAGTAACTAAAATTATTGGTTGATCGAATTCCGACGGTCAGATCAAAAATTATGATCTAAAGAAAGTGAAAAAAATTGAAGGATTTTTGCAAGCTCCTCTCTCTCTCCAACGAAATGCAAGACAAATTTGGGGAAAATTCTGATTTTTTCACCTTTAAATACTCTTCCATACTTGACTCACAATGCGCCACATGTCAACTTTTAATTGATTGGAAATCTTAGAGAGTCAATCACAATGCACCATGTGTCGTGCTTGGATAATGTATATAATAAAACACCTAGCAATTTGAATTTTTATCTTACACATATTTTTCTTCCCAAAATCATCCCATCACTCAATCTATCACATGTTTAAGCATTTAATATTTAATTAATTTTTAGTTTAACACAATGTTTGTTTTATACATTGTCCATATATGATTGTGTACACGTGTTAAAAAAAATTTATCGGTTATACACTTTGAAAATAATTTGATACTACTTTTTAAAAAATAATAAATAAAAATTAATTTTAAATGATGTAATCAAATAAACAAAGAAATAATTTTTGGTATAGTGGGATTAATTTTTTAAATGCTCAAATCTTATATTTCATCGTACTTTTAGGCACTGATTATAACTATATCTATTTAATAAAACACAAAAAATTGAATTTTATCTCCTACATATTTTTTCCTTCAAAACTATCACATCACTCATTTCATCACATGTTCAATCATTTAATATTTGAATAATTGTTAGTTTAAGATAATTTTTATTTTAGACATTATCTAGAATCCATACACAATAGTATACGTATTTTATCAAAAATTTTATCAAATTATATATTTTGAGAAAATTTTAAATGATGTAATCAAAGAAAGAAATGATAGAAAAATTATTATTTAATATAATGAGATCAATTTTTTAGATGCTCAAATTTTATATTCTATCGTGTCTTTAGGCACGGGTTATGACTAATAGTCTTTAAAATATCTAGTTCATTTATATTGTGGGTCCAGTGAATAAAATTAAGTTGCTGGAATTTAATCGCGCATCACCCGATTGCACTTTTTGTCTCGTTTTACGTGAAAATTTCGACTGCCTTAGAATTTAATGAAAATTGACTGATTTACTTGATTTCATGAGGCGAATCCAATGATGGGGTCTATTTCATCATCCGAGTTATAAAATTCAAGTTTTTAACCCGCACTTGAACGACTTAATTATTGTATTACCCATTTAATGAAAATTTTAATTTTCTCGAGTTTTACACAAACACACACATACACACTTATACTAAGGAATAATATATTAGTGTGTGTGTTTGTGTCATGTATTAGTGTATTTTGCATTTTTGGTTGTATTGTTGTGTGTGTACTTTTTAGTGAATTAGTGTGTATGTCTATTTTTTGGTGTATTAGAGGGTGTTCTTTAATCTTTGGTGTATTCATGTGCACGCGTGTATTTTTTGGCATATTAGTATTGTATTATTTATAGTGTATTGGTGTGTGTATATATTGTGGTGTATTAGAGTGTGTGTGTGTGTTTTTATGTATTAGTGTGTCTGTTCTAGCGTATTAGTGTACATGTTGTTGTATTATTGTTTGTGTTTTAGTGTATTAGTTTGTGAGAGGTGAATGTGTATATCAACGATTAAGATTGATTCAATTTCATCTACTTTAATTCAATGACACAAAATTTATTCCAATTTTTTTTTGCTCAAAAATATCTTATTTGTACGGCCTCGTATGGCCCCCAATATCAAACAACTCAATCAATAGACTCTCTATTGTCAAACTATTTCATCAATCCACACATACCTTTCTTTTTTCTCTCTTTATTTTAATTTTAGATTACGCAATAAAAAAAATCAAATTATTATTTAAAATATATATTATAAATTTAATGTTCGATATTTAATATTACATAATATCTTTAGAAACAGAGTTATTACTAGTATTATTATAGAGATAAAATAGTATATGAAAGACATAAAATTATATTTATTAAAATATCTTCCATGTATTAAGGTATCCGTTTGATATTGTACTCGTATCCTGTGCCCTTATGTGTCCTTCCAATGATTCAGAACATATGGGACACCAGAAGATCACAATCAGATTCACCCCATAAAGAGGAGCGATGACTCAAAAGAGATCAACCCACGAAAATTGGTAAGAACGAGCTTATTGGAGTCAGAATTGCATTCTCTGAATCAGTCCCCATCTCCCAAGCTAACACGAGCTCCACATCTTTACCCAATAACCACTTTTGTGGATCTCTCTGACTCACAAAAGAGAAGCATAACAGAAGACAGAGAAATTAATATTACCCCTTTTTTTAATGTGAATTTCTCAGGCAAGTACAAATAGTTTGCTAATTCACAATGACAAGTAACTTGGTGTTTCAAACTTCAAAGATCATGACAAAAAAAGCTGCAAAGTAACTTAGCAACTAAACAATGCACGGTAAATTACAATCCTCAAGCAGCAAAAGTGCATAATCCTTATTCCAAAATACAATCTTTTAGTTAAACTAGCTAGTATTCATTTAATTACAAGAGATTGGCAATTCCTTGCTCTCAATTTTACTTACAGAGACGTAGATAGAAGTGTCAGATATTAAAAAGTACGGTGACTATACAAACATAAAGAGGAAAAAACAATGACAAATACATATTTAACAAGCACAAAAATCAAACTCCCTCCATACCTTATGTTTTTAGATGAATCCATTAATTGCTGGCACATAATACAGTGAGTTCGCCCCTTAAAACAGTCCTCACGACAATCTGCAAAGACCAACACAAACACAAGGGCGGGGGAACATATAAAACGAACATTAGGTTTATTTTGGATGGAAAATGCACTCAAGTCATTCGATTTTGGGATAATGTGAAACCAATAGACATCGTTGGGGCAATGCGTCATGTACTGTTGTAATATGTATGCCAAAGTTAATAGCCATTGGGTTTTAGGATCTTGTAAAATCAAATAATATAGTTGTCAAGACAATGTGAGAAAATTGATAGTAAAATGAGATCTGGGTCATAGTTTTGGGATAGTAAGTGTAATTTTATCTTTTTGCCTTCGCACACTTGTTTATTCGAAAATTGAAAACAGAGAAGAGACATGCATCATGAATGGAACCTGATATAAGTGGCGATGAACTCCGAAGTCATCCTCATCCTCTGAAGAAGCCCAATTTCATCTGAACCTTGTTGATGGATCGAAGGACCATCACACTATATCAACATATGGGATGCCAGCGATCTTAGGCCAATCCATGCCTTTCTCCTTTGAGAAACGGCGTTTAAGATGCGGACAGCGCATGATACGAAGACTTGACAGTGTAGTGAGTACGTCAGGCAAGGAACGAAGATTAGGGCAGTCGAATATCTCCAGGTAATTAAGAGAGCTCAAGTTCTGGAGCCCGAGTGACTTGAGATTAGGCATGCTTGCAATAACAAGCGATTTTACAGAAGAAGGAAGGAGCAAACCCTCGTCCAAAAAGGAACGTAGCTCTGGATAAACATCCATCATTAAAAATGTACGAAGGGAAGAGAGTCGGTGTAGGCCCCACTCTGATAGAGGCTTTAGTTTTCCACACCTGTTGATTTGAAGTTTTGTTAAGTTAGGGGGCAAATTCCCATCAGGGAAGGACCCAAGACTTTGACAATCAGACATGCTCAACTCTTCAAGGGATGTGAGGCTTTCAAACTTGCCCTTTAAGGAAATATCATTTGCCATCCCCTTAATAGAAAGGCGTCTTAGGTTGGGAGTGAGCAAACCACTTCCTGGAGGGAACGACAGCCCGATATTGTAAGACAAGACATAGGAAAAATCTGGCGCGAACACACGCAACAGCTCCAAATTCGGCCAATCACTGATCCTAAAGCAATCTAGCTCGATCTTCATCTCTGAAATTGAATCCAAATTCATGCAATCTTTAATGTAAATTGACTTAATGGTGGAGGGAAATGTGTCCATTGGCAAGGATCTCAGAGACGAGCAGTTCCAGAGGTGTAACTCCTCGAGACAGGAGTTGTAATTAGGCAGCGACTCCAGTGAACTGCAGTCTCTTATTGAGAGACTTCTAAGCATGGGTGGGAGACTGGCCTCCGGAAAAGACACAAGCTTTGGGCATTTTCTGATTGTCAACTTTTTGAGAGATGTATGGTTTTTCAGGCCAGTTGGCAACCTCTCTAGACGATCACAGTCATGTACTTCCAAAGATTCAAGATTGCAATGTAGCATTTGAGCTTCTTCAACCAAGCACACAAGTTGTGAACACCCCTCGACATGGAGGCATTGCAGATGGGAAAGATGTTGTGGTGTAATCCCACCCTTCAGCAATGTCACCAGCATATCACAATCACCCAATTCAAGAACTTGAAGTGACACCAAGAAATGCGTAAATTCCTCCTGTAGATGAGTTAGTCCCGAAATATTCCAAATTTTCAATGTGTTTAGTGAGGTCAGTTCACTGAAACTTTTTAGCACCGCCTCGCTACAACTTATTATCGTTAATTTGCGAAGAGAGAGAAGCCTTAAGAGTGAGACACTTACCAATTTAGGACAATGGACCATAGTAAGCTCATGAAGACGAGGTAAATGTCCTACAAATTCACCAGCATTACCACAAGACCATTCCTCCCATTCAGGCATCCCCTCAAAGCTTAGAGTCTCGAGTGATGGAAATCGAGTCTCCAATGCACTACCAACCCCGTAGAACTCAGCACCTATGCTTTTCACTGCATGCATGCCTTGAATGTGTAGTTCTTTCAGGATGGGTAGTTGGCCAAGTGGTGGTAAAGACACACAATTTGTACAGTCTCTAAGATCAATGCGCACTGTTTTAGAAAGTGACGGATCCCCAATCCAACTGGGAAATGTTGAACCCCTGTAGAACCCAATTTTAAGGCATTTCAATTCTCTATTCGGTCGTAGTATGTCAAGCATATTGACTTGTAGCTCTTCATTTTGTGACCCTCCAATGCCACTACTCCATATTAATTCTAACTCATGAATATTCTGCTTACTACTCAAATTGGCATCATCTGCATCCCGCACATCCATAACATTTTCCAATCCTACAATGGAAAGCATCCCTCGCAGAAGTAACATGTTTTTCAAATCTCTGAGCCTCAATCCACCATTTTTGCACACAATAATCTTTGGCAAAGTTTGCAAACTTGTCAATTTGCTAATCCCTAGGGGCATCTCCTGTAAATTTACAGTATCAGAATTGTCAAGATGCCGCAGATTGACTAAATTTCCAATGTCTGTGGGCAACTTACAAAGAGCATTGCAACCTCTTAACAATAATGTCTGCAAATTGTGGAGAGCACACACTGATTCAGGCAACCATTCAATTGATGTTGCTGATAAATTTAGGTACCGAAGATGTTTCAGATCCCCAATCGAGTTAGGCAACTGATTTATATAGTACCCACTCAAAGATAAGATTCTTAAGTACCGTAATTTGGGCAGTAGCTCGACTAAAATGCTATTGCTTAAATAAAATCTGGCCCAATTATATGACTTATAAACTGGCACTGGTAAGAAGGTCCTCACACTTCGAAGTCCATGCAATGACTTGAATCTTTTATATTCTTCATAATGGTGGCGAATGAATGCCAAGTGGCGAGCTTTTTGAGAAATCTTACATTGTTCATTGCTCTCGATACTATCATCCAACCAAAAGCAAATTTTTCCTACAACATATTGAGCTAAATCATTCAAAAGGTCATGCATCACAAATTTTGATTCCATGCCACCTGAACGTTGAAAGAATGACCTTGATAATAGCTCATTGAAGCAGTTGTTACCCAACTCTTCCATACATTTCATTCCTTCTGACTGTGGCAGAAATCCTTCTGCCATCCATAACAAAACTAACTCATCCTTGTCAAACTCATAGTCCTTCGGAAATATTGCACAGTATGCAAACATTTGCTTCAAGTGAGAAGGGAGATGATGATAGCTTACTCTAAGAGCTGGAAGAATGCCGCTCTTGTGCCCTGGTAAATTCCAAATTTCACAGTCAAGTACATCTTTCCACTCATTTGAACTATGTTTGTTGTGCAGGATGCCTCCCAGTGTCTTCACTGCCAAAGGCAAGCCTTGACACTTACTCATTATAGCCACACCAATTTCTTTCAAATTTGGATGGGCACCAAAATTGCTCGTACCCAATGCATGTTGGGCTAATAGAGATAAACAATCATCATCAGCCAACTCCTTTAGATGGTAAGTTGGAATAGAACCCATGGTTGATGCAACGCCTTCATTTCGAGTTGTAACAATAATTTTACTTCCAGGTACCCCAACTTGAAAAGGAGCACGGAGGAGATCCCATTTTGTGTAGTCCTCATTCCAAACATCATCTAAAACAAGAAGAAATTTTATTTTGGAAAGATTCTCTNTCTAAGGAAATATCATTTGCAATCCCCTTAATATAAAGGCGTCTTAGGTTGGGAGTGAGCAAACCACTTCCTGGAGGGAACGACAGCCCGACATTGTAAGACAAGACATAGGAAAAATCTGGCGCGAACACACGCAACAGCTCCAAATTCGGCCAATCACTGACCCTAAAGCAATCTAGCTCGATCTTCATCTCTGAAATTGAATCCAAATTCATGCAATCATTAATGTAAATTGACTTAATGGTGGAGGGAAATGTGTCCATTGGCAAGGATCTCAGAGACGAGCAGTTCCAGAGGTGTAACTCCTCGAGACAGGAGTTGTAATTAGGCAGCGACTCCAGTGAACTGCAGTCTCTTATTGAGAGACTTCTAAGCATGGGTGGGAGACTGGCCTCCGGAAAAGACACAAGCTTTGGGCATTTTCTGATTGTCAACATTTTGAGAGATGTATGGTTTTTCAGGCNCATAACCATCACTAAGCATGTTATAAGCAATATTAATCAAAATAACATACTTGAACATACTTTGACATTTTATTAAACACCATGAGGCATAAACTATAAACATATAGCATACTCATTCATAAAACTCAAATTTAACATGCTCAACTCCCAAAATCAAATATAATTAGGCATAACATGCTCATCAATCAACCTAAACACCATACTAGTCACACTAGTTACATAGTAGCTATGTAAATAATATACATAACCTTACTTGTACAATATACATACATGAAATTGAGAGTAATCCTAAATAAGACGAAACCTTCACCTTTTGAAGTGTAGCAAGAAGAAAATCTCTCTAGAATACCCAAAGTAAGTCCTTTCAAGCCCTTGCCCCAACACCCTCAATTTTCGAAAGTGATCAAAAATAGTCGTTGTTGGTGTTGACACATTTTCCTCGTCAAATAAAGTAACTAAAATTATTGGTTGATCGAATTCCGACGGTCAGATCAAAAATTATGATCTAAAGAAAGTGAAAAAAATTGAAGGATTTTTGCAAGCTCCTCTCTCTCTCCAACGAAATGCAAGACAAATTTGGGGAAAATTCTGATTTTTTCACCTTTAAATACTCTTCCATACTTGACTCACAATGCGCCACATGTCAACTTTTAATTGATTGGAAATCTTAGAGAGTCAATCACAATGCACCATGTGTCGTGCTTGGATAATGTATATAATAAAACACCTAGCAATTTGAATTTTTATCTTACACATATTTTTCTTCCCAAAATCATCCCATCACTCAATCTATCACATGTTTAAGCATTTAATATTTAATTAATTTTTAGTTTAACACAATGTTTGTTTTATACATTGTCCATATATGATTGTGTACACGTGTTGAAAAAAATTTATCGGTTATACACTTTGAAAAAAATTTGATGCTACTTTTTAAAAAATAATAAATAAAAATTAATTTTAAATGATGTAATCAAATAAACAAAGAAATAATTTATGGTATAGTGGGATTAATTTTTTAAATGCTCAAATCTTATATTTCACCGTACTTTTAGGCACTGATTATAACTATATCTATTTAATAAAACACAAAAAATTGAATTTTATCTCCTACATATTTTCTCCTTTAAAACTATCACATCACTCATTTCATCACATGTTCAATCATTTAATATTTGAATAATTGTTAGTTTAAGATAATTTTTATTTTAGACATTATCTAGATTCCATACACAATAGTATATGTATTTTATCAAAAATTTTATCAAATTATATATTTTGAGAAAATTTTAAATGATGTAATCAAAGAAAGAAACGATAGAAAAATTATTATTTAATATAATGAGATCAATTTTTTAGATGCTCAAATTTTATATTCTATCGTGTCTTTAGGCACGGGTTATGACTAATAGTCTTTAAAATATCTAGTTCNTATATGATTGTGTACACGTGTTGAAAAAAATTTATCGGTTATACACTTTGAAAATAATTTGATACTACTTTTTAAAAAATAATAAATAAAAATTAATTTTAAATGATGTAATCAAATAAACAAAGAAATAATTTTTGGTATAGTGGGATTAATTTTTTAAATGCTCAAATCTTATATTTCATCGTACTTTTAGGCACTGATTATAACTATATCTATTTAATAAAACACAAAAAATTGAATTTTATCTCCTACATATTTTTTCCTTCAAAACTATCACATCACTCATTTCATCACATGTTCAATCATTTAATATTTGAATAATTGTTAGTTTAAGATAATTTTTATTTTAGACATTATCTAGAATCCATACACAATAGTATACGTATTTTATCAAAAATTTTATCAAATTATATATTTTGAGAAAATTTTAAATGATGTAATCAAAGAAAGAAATGATAGAAAAATTATTATTTAATATAATGAGATCAATTTTTTAGATGCTCAAATTTTATGTTCTATCGTGTCTTTAGGCACGGGTTATGACTAATAGTCTTTAAAATATCTAGTTCATTTATATTGTGGGTCCAGTGAATAAAATTAAGTTGCTGGAATTTAATCGCGCATCACCCGATTGCACTTTTTGTCTCGTTTTACGTGAAAATTTCAACTGCCTCAGAATTTAATAAAAATTGACTGATTTACTTGATTTCATGAGGCGAATCCAATGATGAGGTTTATTTTATCATCCGAGTTATAAAATTCAGGTTTTTAACCTGCACTTGAACGACTTAATTATTGTATTACCCATTTAATGAAAATTTTAATTTTCTCGAGTTTTACACAAACACACACATACACACTTATACTAAGGAATAATATATTAGTGTGTGTTTGTGTNAATCCATACACAATAGTATACGTATTTTATCAAAAATTTTATCAAATTATATATTTTGAGAAAATTTTAAATGATGTAATCAAAGAAAGAAATGATAGAAAAATTATTATTTAATATAATGAGATCAATTTTTTAGATGCTCAAATTTTATGTTCTATCGTGTCTTTAGGCACGGGTTATGACTAATAGTCTTTAAAATATCTAGTTCATTTATATTGTGGGTCCAGTGAATAAAATTAAGTTGCTGGAATTTAATCGCGCATCACCCGATTGCACTTTTTGTCTCGTTTTACGTGAAAATTTCGACTGCCTTAGAATTTAATGAAAATTGACTGATTTACTTGATTTCATGAGGCGAATCCAATGATGGGGTCTATTTCATCATCCGAGTTATAAAATTCAAGTTTTTAACCCGCACTTGAACGACTTAATTATTGTATTACCCATTTAATGAAAATTTTAATTTTCTCGAGTTTTACACAAACACACACATACACACTTATACTAAGGAATAATATATTAGTGTGTGTGTTTGTGTCATGTATTAGTGTATTTTGCATTTTTGGTTGTATTGTTGTGTGTGTACTTTTTAGTGAATTAGTGTGTATGTCTATTTTTTGGTGTATTAGAGGGTGTTCTTTAATCTTTGGTGTATTCATGTGCACGCGTGTATTTTTTGGCATATTAGTTTTGTATTATTTATAGTGTATTGGTGTGTGTATATATTGTGGTGTATTAGAGTGTGTGTGTGTGTTTTTATGTATTAGTGTGTCTGTTCTAGCGTATTAGTGTACATGTTGTTGTATTATTGTTTGTGTTTTAGTGTATTAGTTTGTGAGAGGTGAATGTGTATATCAACGATTAAGATTGATTCAATTTTCATCTATTTTAATTCAATGACACAAAATTTATTCCAATTTTTTTTTGCTCAAAAATATCTTATTTGTACGGCCCCCAATATCAAATAACTCAATCAATAGACTCTCTATTGTCAAACTATTTCATCAATCCACACATACCTTNCACGCATCACCCGATTGCACTTTTTGTCTCGTTTTACGTGAAAATTTCGACTGCCTTAGAATTTAATGAAAATTGACTGATTTACTTGATTTCATGAGGCGAATCCAATGATGGGGTCTATTTCATCATCCGAGTTATAAAATTCAAGTTTTTAACCCGCACTTGAACGACTTAATTATTGTATTACCCATTTAATGAAAATTTTAATTTTCTCGAGTTTTACACAAACACACACATACACACTTATACTAAGGAATAATATATTAGTGTGTGTTTGTGTCATGTATTAGTGTATTTTGCATTTTTGGTTGTATTGTTGTGTGTGTACTTTTTAGTGAATTAGTGTGTATGTCTATTTTTTGGTGTATTAGAGGGTGTTCTTTAATCTTTGGTGTATTCATGTGCACGCGTGTATTTTTTGGCATATTAGTTTTGTATTATTTATAGTGTATTGGTGTGTGTATATATTGTGGTGTATTAGAGTGTGTGTGTGTGTTTTTATGTATTAGTGTGTCTGTTCTAGCGTATTAGTGTACATGTTGTTGTATTATTGTTTGTGTTTTAGTGTATTAGTTTGTGAGAGGTGAATGTGTATATCAACGATTAAGATTGATTCAATTTCATCTACTTTAATTCAATGACACAAAATTTATTCCAATTTTTTTTTGCTCAAAAATATCTTATTTGTACGGCCTCGTATGGCCCCCAATATCAAACAACTCAATCAATAGACTCTCTATTGTCAAACTATTTCATCAATCCACACATACCTTTCTTTTTTCTCTCTTTATTTTAATTTTAGATTACGTAATAAAAAAAATCAAATTATTATTTAAAATATATATTATAAATTTAATGTTCGATATTTAATATTACATAATATCTTTAGAAACAGAGTTATTACTAGTATTATTATAGAGATAAAATAGTATATGAAAGACATAAAATTATATTTATTAAAATATCTTCCATGTATTAAGGTATCCGTTTGATATTGTACTCGTATCCTGTGCCCTTATGTGTCCTTCCAATGATTCAGAACATATGGGACACCAGAAGATCACAATCAGATTCACCCCATAAAGAGGAGCGATGACTCAAAAGAGATCAACCCACGAAAATTGGTAAGAACGAGCTTATTGGAGTCAGAATTGCATTCTCTGAATCAGTCCCCATCTCCCAAGCTAACACGAGCTCCACATCTTTACCCAATAACCACTTTTGTGGATCTCTCTGACTCACAAAAGAGAAGCATAACAGAAGACAGAGAAATTAATATTACCCCTTTTTTTAATGTGAATTTCTCAGGCAAGTACAAATAGTTTGCTAAATCACAATGACAAGTAACTTGGTGTTTCAAACTTCAAAGATCATGACAAAAAAGGCTGCAAAGTAACTTAGCAACTAAACAATGCACGGTAAATTACAATCCTCAAGCAGCAAAAGTGCATAATCCTTTTTCCAAAATACAATCTTTTAGTTAAACTAGCTAGTATTCATTTAATTACAAGAGATNACTACCCCTTTTTTTAATGTGAATTTCTCAGGCAAGTACAAATAGTTTGCTAATTCACAATGACAAGTAACTTGGTGTTTCAAACTTCAAAGATCATGACAAAAAAAGCTGCAAAGTAACTTAGCAACTAAACAATGCACGGTAAATTACAATCCTCAAGCAGCAAAAGTGCATAATCCTTATTCCAAAATACAATCTTTTAGTTAAACTAGCTAGTATTCATTTAATTACAAGAGATTGGCAATTCCTTGCTCTCAATTTTACTTACAGAGACGTAGATAGAAGTGTCAGATATTAAAAAGTACGGTGACTATACAAACATAAAGAGGAAAAAACAATGACAAATACATATTTAACAAGCACAAAAATCAAACTCCCTCCATACCTTATGTTTTTAGATGAATCCATTAATTGCTGGCACATAATACAGTGAGTTCGCCCCTTAAAACAGTCCTCACGACAATCTGCAAAGACCAACACAAACACAAGGGCGGGGGAACATATAAAACGAACATTAGGTTTATTTTGGATGGAAAATGCACTCAAAGTCATTCGATTTTGGGATAATGTGAAACCAATAGACATCGTTGGGGCAATGCGTCATGTACTGTTGTAATATGTATGCCAAAGTTAATAGCCATTGGGTTTTAGGATCTTGTAAAATCAAATAATATAGTTGTCAAGACAATGTGAGAAAATTGATAGTAAAATGAGATCTGGGTCATAGTTTTGGGATAGTAAGTGTAATTTTATCTTTTTGCCTTCGCACACTTGTTTATTCGAAAATTGAAAACAGAGAAGAGACATGCATCATGAATGGAACCTGATATAAGTGGCGATGAACTCCGAAGTCATCCTCATCCTCTGAAGAAGCCCAATTTCATCTGAACCTTGTTGATGGATCGAAGGACCATCACACTATATCAACATATGGGATGCCAGCGATCTTAGGCCAATCCATGCCTTTCTCCTTTGAGAAACGGCGTTTAAGATGCGGACAGCGCATGATACGAAGACTTGACAGTGTAGTGAGTACGTCAGGCAAGGAACGAAGATTAGGGCAGTCGAATATCTCCAGGTAATTAAGAGAGCTCAAGTTCTGGAGCCCGAGTGACTTGAGATTAGGCATGCTTGCAATAACAAGCGATTTTACAGAAGAAGGAAGGAGCAAACCCTCATCCAAAAAGGAACGTAGCTCTGGATAAACATCCATCATTAAAAATGTACGAAGGGAAGAGAGTCGGTGTAGGCCCCACTCTGATAGAGGCTTTAGTTTTCCACACCTGTTGATTTGAAGTTTTGTTAAGTTAGGGGGCAAATTCCCATCAGGGAAGGACCCAAGACTTTGACAATCAGACATGCTCAACTCTTCAAGGGATGTGAGGCTTTCAAACTTGCCCTTTAAGGAAATATCATTTGCCATCCCCTTAATAGAAAGGCGTCTTAGGTTGGGAGTGAGCAAACCACTTCCTGGAGGGAACGACAGCCCGATATTGTAAGACAAGACATAGGAAAAATCTGGCGCGAACACACGCAACAGCTCCAAATTCGGCCAATCACTGATCCTAAAGCAATCTAGCTCGATCTTCATCTCTGAAATTGAATCCAAATTCATGCAATCTTTAATGTAAATTGACTTAATGGTGGAGGGAAATGTGTCCATTGGCAAGGATCTCAGAGACGAGCAGTTCCAGAGGTGTAACTCCTCGAGACAGGAGTTGTAATTAGGCAGCGACTCCAGTGAACTGCAGTCTCTTATTGAGAGACTTCTAAGCATGGGTGGGAGACTGGCCTCCGGAAAAGACACAAGCTTTGGGCATTTTCTGATTGTCAACATTTTGAGAGATGTATGGTTTTTCAGGCCAGTTGGCAACCTCTCTAGACGATCACAGTCATGTACTTCCAAAGATTCAAGATTGCAATGTAGCATTTGAGCTTCTTCAACCAAGCACACAAGTTGTGAACACCCCTCGACATGGAGGCATTGCAGATGGGAAAGATGTCGTGGTGTAATCCCACCCTTCAGCAATGTCACCAGCATATCACAATCACCCAATTCAAGAACTTGAAGTGACACCAAGAAATGCGTAAATTCCTCCTGTAGATGAGTTAGTCCCGAAATATTCCAAATTTTCAATGTGTTTAGTGAGGTCAGTTCACTGAAACTTTTTAGCACCGCCTCGCTACAACTTATTATCGTTAATTTGCGAAGAGAGAGAAGCCTTAAGAGTGAGACACTTACCAATTTAGGACAATGGACCATAGTAAGCTCATGAAGACGAGGTAAATGTCCTACAAATTCACCAGCATTACCACAAGACCATTCCTCCCATTCAGGCATCCCCTCAAAGCTTAGAGTCTCGAGTGATGGAAATCGAGTCTCCAATGCACTACCAACCCCGTAGAACTCAGCACCTATGCTTTTCACTGCATGCATGCCTTGAATGTGTAGTTCTTTCAGGATGGGTAGTTGGCCAAGTGGTGGTAAAGACACACAATTTGTACAGTCTCTAAGATCAATGCGCACTGTTTTAGAAAGTGACGGATCCCCAATCCAACTGGGAAATGTTGAACCCCTGTAGAACCCAATTTTAAGGCATTTCAATTCTCTACTCGGTCGTAGTATGTCAAGCATATTGACTTGTAGCTCTTCATTTTGTGACCCTCCANAATGACGGATCCCCAATCCAACTGGGAAATGTTGAACCCCTGTAGAACCCAATTTTAAGGCATTTCAATTCTCTATTCGGTCGTAGTATGTCAAGCATATTGACTTGTAGCTCTTCATTTTGTGACCCTCCAATGCCACTACTCCATATTAATTCTAACTCATGAATATTCTGCTTACTACTCAAATTGGCATCATCTGCATCCCACACATCCATAACATTTTCCAATCCTACAATGGAAAGCATCCCTCGCAGAAGTAACATGTTTTTCAAATCTCTGAGCCTCAATCCACCATTTTTGCACACAATAATCTTTGGCAAAGTTTGCAAACTTGTCAATTTGCTAATCCCTAGGGGCATCTCCTGTAAATTTACAGTATCAGAATTGTCAAGATGCCGCAGATTAACTAAATTTCCAATGTCTGTGGGCAACTTACAAAGAGCATTGCAACCTCTTAACAANTGCTAATCCCTAGGGGCATCTCCTGTAAATTTACAGTATCAGAATTGTCAAGATGCCGCAGATTGACTAAATTTCCAATGTCTGTGGGCAACTTACAAAGAGCATTGCAACCTCTTAACAATAATGTCTGCAAATTGTGGAGAGCACACACTGATTCAGGCAACCATTCAATTGATGTTGCTGATAAATTTAGGTACCGAAGATGTTTCAGATCCCCAATCGAGTTAGGCAACTGATTTATATAGTACCCACTCAAAGATAAGATTCTTAAGTACCGTAATTTGGGCAGTAGCTCGACTAAAATGCTATTGCTTAAATAAAATCTGGCCCAATTATATGACTTATAAACTGGCACTGGTAAGAAGGTCCTCACACTTCGAAGTCCATGCAATGACTTGAATCTTTTATATTCTTCATAATGGTGGCGAATGAATGCCAAGTGGCGAGCTTTTTGAGAAATCTTACATTGTTCATTGCTCTCGATACTATCATCCAACCTAAAGCAAATTTTTCCTACAACATATTGAGCTAAATCATTCAAAAGGTCATGCATCACAAATTTTGATTCCATGCCACCTGAACGTTGAAAGAATGACCTTGATAATAGCTCATTGAAGCAGTTGTTACCCAACTCTTCCATACATTTCATTCCTTCTGACTGTGGCAGAAATCCTTCTGCCATCCATAACAAAACTAACTCATCCTTGTCAAACTCATAGTCCTTCGGAAATATTGCACAGTATGCAAACATTTGCTTCAAGTGAGAAGGGAGATGATGATAGCTTACTCTAAGAGCTGGAAGAATGCCGCTCTTGTGCCCTGGTAAATTCCAAATTTCACAGTCAAGTACATCTTTCCACTCATTTGAACTATGTTTGTTGTGCAGGATGCCTCCCAGTGTCTTCACTGCCAAAGGCAAGCCTTGACACTTACTCATTATAGCCACACCAATTTCTTTCAAATTTGGATGGGCACCAAAATTGCTCGTACCCAATGCATGTTGGGCTAATAGAGATAAACAATCATCATCAGCCAACTCCTTTAGATGGTAAGTTGGAATAGAACCCATGGTTGATGCAACGCCTTCATTTCGAGTTGTAACAATAATTTTACTTCCAGGTACCCCAACTTGAAAAGGAGCACGGAGGAGATCCCATTTTGTGTAGTCCTCATTCCAAACATCATCTAAAACAAGAAGAAATTTTATTTTGGAAAGATTCTCTTTAAGCCTCTCTTGCGCCATATTTAAGTCGTTAATGTCATTGATTTCGGGGCTCACTGAAGCAAGAATAGTCTTGGTTACCATGAATACATCAAACTCTTCAGAAACATATACCCACACTCTAACATCAAAGAAATCCTTTACTTTCTCATCATTGTAAACAAGTTGGGCAAGAGTGGTCTTGCCGACACCGCCCATACCAACTATTGGAATGACGCCTGTTTCACCATTACATGCTTCATCCCTGAGCAACAATTCAAGTATTTCTTGTTTATCCTTTTTCCGACCATAAACATGGGATTCACTCACCAAAGAAGTTGTTGGCAATCTCTCTCTTTCTGTGTTTGACCTTATTTCCGGAGTAACTCTCAAACCCAGATCATCTTTCAGTTTTGCAAGATCTTGTAATCTAGCAGTGATCTCCTCAAGCTTGGGCCCTATCTGGATTTTGAGCCCAAGGGATCTAGCAAAATTACCACAACTAGGGATAAATTTCCATACCTTACCTGTGGTAGCTTCAGGCTTGGACTTCAATTCATGTGTCAAAGCTTCTGTGGCAATTTCGTCCAGTAGATCATCCAAATCGTAAGCCAAATCCCTGAGATCATCCAGCCACAAATTCACAGCTTCCTCCTTTATTTGCCTAGTCTCTGCATCTCTGAGCACTGCTTTAATTGACATTAACACTTTGCTACATTTCATCAACTGGGTATGAATTCCCTTTCTGCGAGCAAAGTTTAACAACCCGCGAGAGGCCAATCTCTCAAACAACACAGTTATAAACGAACCCAGAAAAACTTCTACCAAAACCATTGTCTCCAATTTTGGGGTCGGAGTCGGAAAAAGAAAGAAAAAGCAGAAATGAAGATCTGAGAATGATGACTTTCGTGTACAACAGCTATTGAGCTATCTCAGAACTGCTCATGGCCTGAAGTCAACACGATGGAAAAAAGGGTTGTAACAGACTTGAAGGAGCTATAATTTGTAGTTAGACTTATGTAGTAATTGTACTGAGAGAGAGAGAGAGAGAGATGACGAAGAAAAATAAATTATCATTTACTGGCTACAATGGCGTCAAAGACACAATTAGACATTTCGTTGAACAGGGGATGCGCAATAAACTGACCCAACTATGACTTCGGTTAGGGGAGGAAAGAGGGGCTGACGTTGGTGGTTTGGCAGGGAGAGAGTAGAAGGAAAGAAAGAGGGGCTGTGGCAGTGGAGGTTGAGACGCTGGAGTTGTGATGGTTGTTCGGTGGTGGTGGTTTGGCAAGGAGAGAGGAGGGAGAGAAAGAGGGGCTGTGGTACTGGGGGTGATGGTAGTTGTGTGAGTGGAATTGTTATCCGACACGATGTAGCAGTGTGTCACCATTGCAATGAATATTTTATCGTGTGAGTGGGGGCAAGGTCGCCGTCGCTAGGACGTCGGAGCTCGTCGTCTTCGAAGTTGGCAGGTTTCGTGACCGAGGCCTCCAAGTGGCCAAACTGAGTGCCAAACAAGAAGAAGTAATCGTAATCGTCCGTGGTCCCAGACAGGGGCGTCACGTGTAGTGCTCGTGTGAGTTATATGTCCTCTTATTTCGTATCATCTCCGTTCGTATCGTATTTATTTCAAAATCACGAAAAAAAATAAATTATTTGGTATATTCTGAATATTAAATATTAGTTTAAATTATTTATTATACGTATTTAATAATCGTATCAATTTTTTAATCATTCGTATCAAATTCATATCAACGGATCAAAATTGATACTCTTACTCCCTGACCCTAGACCAAGAGCATCGACTATAGAATTGTCAATCCTTATTACACATTAACAGATTTTTTAGGGAGGGATCTAAATATGGTACAAAATTTGTTTTTGATATTATAGCTTCTTTTTTTGAAGTGTAAAATTCACTTGTTTTATTATTTTACTTTATTCCACATATACATGGTCATAGCATAAATTATTTTGGGATAAATTATATTTTTATCCCTCAACTATGACCTATTTTCATATTATCCTCTTAACTATCATATTTTTTACAGTATACCATCACTATATGATTTATTTCATATTGCCTCAATTATTAACGTTTGTTACATATTCAACGAGAATTTGTTTTATTTTGTCCTCCAAATTATGTATTTTTTTTAATTTGCCTCGATATCTTAATAATTTTTATCCAAAAAAATAATGAAAGTTTGAGATTGGGACAATGTAAAATAACTCAAGTAGTTGGAGAATAATGTGAAAAATTTAATAATTCAATGGTCAAAGTGAAATCAAATCCATAGTTTATCGGGTCAAATTTGCCCTTATTTTTTTGATGCTATAACTTTGATACTAAAAAGCAAGTGGCGAAATAAAACACGTGTTTGAAAAACACGCTTTTCACAATAATTGACAAAAACCTTATTTTACAAACAAATTACTTTTTTATCAAAAAACATAAACTTAAACTAGATTTTTACATAAAGAGCGGTAGAATGAGAAAATCAAAATTAGAAACCACAATACATATAGAATCAAGTCCAAATTGTACTATCTATATAATAAATCACATAAAAAGTTGAATATTATTTTCTACATATTTTTTTTTCAATTTCATCACATCACTCATCTTATTACATGTTCAATCATTTAATATTAATATTATTTTTATGTTAGATATCATCTATATACGATAGTATACACATGTTGAAAAAAATTTATCAGATTACGTATTTTAAGAAAATATTGTCGATATTTTTAAGAATTTTAAGCCTTATATATTTTTCTCCTAATTCCATCACATCACCCATTTTATCGCATGCTCAATTATTTAATATTTAATTAATTTAATATGTATCATAATTTTTATTTCATATATTATCTATATACTGAGACACCCTTGAAACCGGGGGTCATTTGTTAACCGTTGACCATCCGTCAATCTGTAGAAATACTCGTGATGGTCGTACAACTCGACTCCATGTTAATAACATCTCCTTTATCGAGATTTTAACTCGCACGTAGAACCCGTGTTTATTTTATCATTTGATCCAGCCGTGGTGCAATGTACCACAATTCATACCCCATTATAGTTCATTTATATCCTTGAAACCCAAGAATTTATAGCTCAAGAGCTTGGCAAAATAATTTAAAATTTTTCAAAATTTTGGAAAGGGTACCGGTCCACTCTCACAATACCAGTACTGTGAGTCTTCTGGAAAATCAGTATCAGTACGTTTTGCCTTCTGGACCAGACTGTACCGATACTCAATCCACTGGAAAATCTGTATCGGTACCGTTAACTCACTGGACCCCGCGAGTATCGGTACTCTCTGTCCACTTTTGCTTATTTTACATATTTTTCATTTCCAATCCATTTTAAACTACTCCAACACCATCCAAAACATGTATAATGATGTTTATCACATAAAATTTGAAATGTACAAGTTCTATTACAATCCATTTATACGATTACATGCTCACAAAAATAATTTTTACAAAAATTACACAAAATGTGCAATAAAAGCCACAAACCGTCTTTTTTTTATCTTTGAGGCCTTGAATGCGAGTCCTCCGCTGGTGTGAATCTCGGACTTGAAATGTTTTCCCATATAGGGTGAGCTACGCTCAATAGAGTATCTCCTACAGAGGCTACTCCTCCCTAGATGCATATGAAAGGTGCACATGCAACATTCAACAATCATAATCCATTTCATACAAGAACATGTCATTCAAGATGGAAATTTTTACTATGTCATGTCATGATATGAGATGACACTCACTCATACACTTTAAACCTGAGTCCTCACCGAGTCCCGCAACACAGTGCAATGCTAATGTGTAGCAAATCTATCATTGATGAATTTCATCCAATGATTATTTTGAAATCAAGGTCATGTGTTTATAAAACCAATTTTGTTGGATGAGACACATCAAATGATCATTTGTAAAACAAAATCATTTGTTTTTGTTGGGCATCGGGTTTTAGAATCACACCTCTGGCTCCAAACATCATTACACTATTTTGGAATTTCATCGTCGGGAAATGTATAAACCATGTGGCCGGGTCTTTTACCCGAGAGAGGATCTATCCCTTCTTGCTATAGCCGACACAAGTTTTTCTTTCATGCAACTATATGCGACTCAGTCAAATCTTTAGTCCAACTTTCCCGAGCCCGTCATCAATCACCAAGTATGATGATTATCCCAACCATGCACACACACACCCATACTCTTGGCCTTGGATGTATTTTCCTCGTGCAAATGCAATGTAGTGCATCATTGCAATATTAATGTCATGCCCCATATGTAATGAGTGTCATGAGCTAATTTAGCCACATATTTCAACATATATCGTGACAATTTATATCTATTGCATATAATTACCATAAATTATCATGATGTGCATGTATTAACAACATATCTCTACTCATTCATCCTCAACAAAAAATTCGCAAACATGTTATACAAAACTCATGTCATAACAAACTTAATTCCACATAGGCATTTAGCAAAATACCTTTAAGGTAAACAATTCATGTTATCATATAAATTGGTCCACATCATTCACAAGGCACAATGACAACACATATCAAGTTTCAAAGAATTTCACAAGTAAATTCCCTATACCAAACTTAACTAGGAATTTGTCTAAGCCAATTTCATACCCATTTCCTCATCTCCATAACCCTAGTCAAGCAACCTAGGTTATTATATACCCTTTACTCATTCCATAGGACATTCTAGGTAAGAATGAACCAAAGTAGGAGGAATCCTACCTTTTGTAGCGTAAATAAAAGGGAGAAAGCTTCAAGACACCTCTTTAGCCCCAAAACTCTTTATTTCATAAAATCCTCCCATTGGATCTTCGGTGAAATACCTCGTTCTTAATACATATGCATAGCCCCTATCACGTAGACCAACTTTAACTCTTGGTCCAAGCAATTCCGACCGACGGAACTCCGTAGATTGCTAGGAGAAAGGTAGAAATTTTAGTTTTCTTCTCTTCTCCTTCTTCCAATGTGAATCAGCCGACTTGGGGAGAGAAATATCTGAAAAATCATATATTTAACCCTTATTTATACTTTTTAATTGCGCGGTCCACATTGCACAGCACATTTCTTACTTTCGGATCCGTTTTTGTCATGAAACGACTTAATTTTGTCCCGATTTAAATTCAAATTATTTTCATTTGAACTTTCCTTCAATTATAAGAAAATTTTATAATTTTTATTTTTTTGGGACGTTTGAGAGTATGTCCGACCCCTAGTTGTCTCGAAAAACATGAAAAATTCGACTATCTCGGAATTCGATGAAAATTGACTGAGCAACTTGATTTCGCGATACAAATCCAACGGTGAGATCCTTTGCGTCATCCGAGCTCTAGAAAAATATGAATTTTAATTCTACACTATAGTGACAAATTACTATTTTACCTTTTTTCAGAAAAACTTCAAATTTTTTCCAGGTTTTACATATACGGTAGTATACACATGTTAAGAAAATTTTATCAAATTACCTATTTTAAGAAAATTTTGTCTATATTTTTAAGAAATATGTAATCAAATAAATGAAGGAAAATATGTTATTTAATATAGTATGATCAATTTTTTGGCCGCTCAAATTTTATATTTTTTCGTGCCTTCAAGCATGGGATAAAACTAATAGGTTAATAATTGACCCATATTGACACGAGCAGCGAGCCCGATAACAATTCCACACAACACGAATCCAAAATAACATGATTAATAAACACAAATAAAAAATAAGTTGGACAAAAAGTAGACACAAAAAGCCTCCTTATTAGTTAAGTAAAAGGAAAATAAATGATTCTA